AAATGCGGGCGGGCTCCAACAAGAGAATAACCTCTTTGAGTTGTTTCATAATGCAGTCGCTGCAGCAACTGCAGTCACATTGGGGCGCGCAAAAGGTTTTGATCGATCGACGGTCGGTGCTGCAGGGACTGCAGTATGAAGCGACCCTTTGAGCACTTGCGCAACGAAGCGTCTCTTCGCGCGCTCACAGCAAATAGGGCTGTGTCTATAGTAAATTTATGGGAAGGAAAAGTCTTTTATCAGCAAGCGCAGTACGTTTTTATCTAGTAGAGAGCGGCGAAGAAGGGTATTTATTGCAAAGCTTTGCAGCGTTCAATGTGAGAGCGATTTTGCAAATTGAAAAGTGGAGAGAGACTACTTAAAGAGCTACGTTCGTTCTCACATGCCCGAGATCATTGGTGCACTATAGCTTGTTCTTATGAGCATCAGTCGCATTGTTCTTAGTTGTTCCGGACCGAACCGAATTTTGCTTTTACAATATCAGTTTGATACAAATTTCTAAACTATAAATTAGGCGAGTCCGAACGCACCAGCTAGAGTGGTTTGCTAATGAAATGCAGTGGTCAATTTAGTCTATGATGAGCATCAGTCGCATTTTGCTCCCAGAGCTCAACTTTCCTTACTGTAAGACTGTCAGATGTGACGCTATTACTACAGACTTTTAAAGTATCATTTTAGTCATATGCAAGCGTGTAGAAGTTATAAATGGAAATGGTAAGCTTCGTAGCGCTTTGCGCTGCCGCTTTGTTTCGGCTCACTCACCTTCAGCTTAATATTAGGTTGTCCGGAAATTAATGTCCGTTTTGAATTTCAACCGCAATAAGTCATACACTTTTCATTCCTGAAAAGATTTCAAGGTACCATTCGATAAAGAAAAGCAAGCTCTACAAGATGGCAGTCTTGCTTTAGCAACAGCTTTGATCCACCTCGAGTTTCGAGCCAAAAACTAAAAAGATTCAACTGCCCGAAAAATCAAGAAAAATCATAATTCAGTTCGTAAGAATTCTACAAAAATTCTAACTTACTCACGTAAACACTATCCACATAAGACATACATGTACGCTATTGCCGTAATTTTTCCTCTGTTAGAAATCGAAAAAAACGAACATTTTCATACTTTTGCAAAAGTGATGCGGTGTCGTCCCCACATAAGTAGATGTATACTACAAATCTGTAGAAGTAAAAACGTGGATTTTCAGCTTTTTACAAGCTTTAGTTCTCGAGAAAAGCTTTAGTTCTCGAGAAATATCGAATATAGCTTTCATTAGTCAGGTGGTTCAAACTAAAATCCAAATTTCTCGAGAACTAAAGCTTGAAAAAAGCTGAAAATCCACGTTTTTACTTCTACAGATTTGTAGTATACATCCACTTATGTGGGGACGACACAGCACCACTTTTGCAAAAGTATGAAAATGTTCGTTTTTTTCGATTTTTAACAGAGGAAAAAATACGGCAATAGCGTACATGCATGTCTTATGTGGATAGTGTTTACGTGAGTAAGTTAGAATTTTTGTAGAATTCTTACGAACTGAATTATGATTTTTCTTGATTTTTCGGGCAGTTGAATCTTTTTAGTTTTTGGCTCGAAACTCGAGGTGGATCAAAGCTGTTGCTAAAGCAAGACTGCCATCTTGTAGAGCTTGCTTTTCTTTATCGAATGGTACCTTGAAATCTTTTCAGGAATGAAAAGTGTATGACTTATTGCGGTTGAAATTCAAAACGGACATTAATTTCCGGACAACCTAATACATCTTGACGCAAACGAGATCCACTTCTTTCCAAATTCAGCGTCCGTAGCTGCTCATCGAATGATGCGCGACGAGCTGGTTGTGCACTCTCTCCGCCAAACAAAGTCAACTCGGAGTTAAGAAACACAACCAATGCAAGAATGCGAGATTGGAGAATTTATTAACAAGAAGGAATTACTTTTTAATCTATGCGCAATACTCCAATCATGTGCGCATGTGTAAAATCAGACACACGCTCATAAGCATATCGTGACAAAGTACTTCTAAACACTCCACTACATATTTACTCAGTATAATTCGTGTTAGAAAGTCACATTGTAATGTATGATCAAACTTGGTCGATCACTCTTTCTATTCTAAATTCAACACTCTCTGAAGAAAGCTGAATACGTCAACCCTAGTGGCAATCTGAAAATGAAGTAAATTTAACGACTGTGTTTACATCCAATATACTTAGAGTTTATTGATAGGTTTTCCTGCTCCGTGACCAACATCACGTTCAATGCGAAACAGAAGTGGCTCAGTTTGCTTCGGGTGAGCTTTTACCGTGATCATTTTTTATCAAACTGTCTTTCTACATGACAACTACTTACATTATTATACGAGTAGCAGCATATTTGAGAGTATGACTAGGTACAACGCGATCATCATGATCTCCTGTCTTCATCAAAGTAGAAAGCCATTGACCATGTTTGGGATAGCGAATGTTGTGTAAAGGAGAGTACCTTAAATTCATCGTAGATTTCCCGTATCTATGACTGTTAAACAAAGAACAGCATTTTTTTTATTACGGACTTGTATATGAAGTCGAAATCCTCCGGGTCATCTGGATTACCGTATTCGCTTATCCAGCCAGATCCGACAGTAAACTTATGAAAGCGCAGCATATCAAGCACTCTAAAATCTGCATGTAAAAATTATTACACACCATTCGCAATCAAGTGCATCTTGATATAAATTTTCTTATAGGCGGTCATGGTTACCTCTGCCAAACTGCTGAAGTAATTGAAGTGATCAAGTTTGACGTGTGCCTCAAATCACAGCTGCACAGTTGTTACTTATGCAACCAATTTTAACCAATGTTGCCGTTGTCACCAGTGCTAGCATTGGTGACAGTGGTATCACTAGTAGAAATGATAACATAGGTGACCACTGATCTTGTATCATCGGTAATGTATGGCCACTCTTAGCCACATCAGGTTATGAATACCCTAATTTTCGGGATATAAGGCGTACCCACCGCAGCGAACAATGGCGCGAAAATGCTTTCTAAATGATTGCTCTTTGAATCTGTAAAGCTGGAGACTCAGTGTGCTGTGATTATTCTTCACTTCTCACAAATCATGCCTTCAATATTCTTTTACTCTTCTCGGGATGTATACTTTGAATTCGTTTCTACAATTGGGAGGAAGATGTTCTCAATTTTTAAAAACCTTGTTCAGGTTTAATTGCTAATAATCACAAGACAGCCTTACAACTGTTTAAAGCGTCAAGATAACATAATCGGATGAAATATAAGTTAGAATTACACATATTATTGCTTGTTTGAAGCGCCGCTTTGCTTGGAGGTCGATTTGCTTGAAGGAACAACGACGAGAAAGAATGCCGAAGCCTTCTCTCGGTACGCCTGGTCGCCTCTGCCCGGCGCTCCGCCCCTCATGATAATCGTGATTATCACGACACTTCGGGGGCGCTGTTTTGTTGACGCGGTTTTTGACCGCCATCCCGGCGCGAATGAAAAAAAATTGGCAAAAACATACAAGCAATAGCACAACTATCAACGATTATCATTTACTACTATTATCACGAACGATTATCATCGCTTATCAAATAAGCTCCATTTCATGTTCTTCTGTCCTGGCTTCCATTGCTATGATCTATATAGAAAACCTGAAATTTCAATGAATTTTTAAATTTTCCGCTTTTGTAATTTTGTGATGGCCAATTTCGCTCTATTTATTTATTCATTTATTGCGACCTTCACTTCGCTACACCTTGCTTATTTTCCCTTTTTACCACATTCACCACTTTTGTTTCATTTGCCACGTTGTTAATTTTGTTCAGTTGAGGTGGAAAAAAAGGAGAGCAAACCAGGTGTTGCTAACACGAATTTTTACACGAACGCCACCAATCATGATGTATTGGCAAGAATAACTGATAGAACAGCAGAAATCATCCAAGCGATAAATTGGCGCGTTTTCCTTAGATCAGCCTCTTGTGTATTTAACATCCATTTCTTCTGTAAATTTTTTGGTATAACCCCTTCGAATATAAACACAAATGCGGGTATCCGGACACTTCGTTCCCATTTTCCACAAAGATATGCATAAAAATGTACATTGGCTTTCTTATAAACCCTCGCTTATAAAAGAGTTCAAATCCCGCTTTTATCATAGAAAGAAAGAGCTCACAAAGTTGCATATAAATGACTTCGTAGCATTTGCCCATCAGCGCTAGTCGCGGTGATATGCGGTCACTCTCGCACCGTAATTAGCAAATCTCGCACCTCGGCTGTCAATTACAATACCACTCTCATAACGTGCAAAATTTCCGTGAATGTCGCGAAATTCCGAAATTTCCGCGAACTTTCCGGAATTTCGCGAAATTCCGGGAATGTCGCGAATTTCGCGAAACTTCGCGACATTCCCGGAATTTCGCGGAATTTTCGGAATTTCGCGACATTTTCGGAATTTCGCGACATTTACGGAAATTTTGCACATTCTGTAAGCGGTATTGTACTTTCCACGTAAAATCCTCATAGGTCCAGATCTGCCTGGACGCTGCCTTTAACAGTAAAAATTCCGACAAGTATGGCATTAGGGTGAACGGGCAAAAATGGGACAGCTAGATTTTTTGTAACATTTTGGAGTTTTCTATTTCGATCACTAGCAAATAGGCTGCAACTTAAACCTCGCTTAAATAAGCGGCCTTCGCGTCGTAAACCTATGAAAATGCATTTAAGAACAAATTCGTAAATAATTCAGTCCGTTTCACAGCAAAAACTATGGAACTCAGCGAGTGATGACCTCAGAGATAAAGTAAGCTAATGCACTCTATCTGGTACTTCTTGAACACTCGCATAGCACTAAACTGGAGTTTTGAGTAAAGGACAGCCGGAGAAATCGCGCCTCTTGACCGTCTCCCCTTGTGCTGCCACCCATAAAGTCATAGAGCAATTGACATACCCTCCGAAAGAGCTCTTCATGCTCTTTCAAATAATAAATTGGGCTATACTAGGATTCCTTTTTAATTCCGGATAAGAAAGCAAAATTCTCAAGAATTGGCGCGATAAAAACCAAAAAAATCATGTTTTATATATTTTCCGAAGACAGGTGAAAATTGAGGTAAACTGCATATGGATGGATAGAGCGTAAAAAGCTCAATCAGATGGTAGCCAGATAACGCGCCTTCACTTACAAGGAAGTGGTTAACATGTATCTTCATTTCCAAAAATGCTAATGAGCATATCTCCTGACTTTAACCGTTGCGGCCAGCAAGCCAGCTTGGGTTTCGTGACTGTCCCTTCACCCATCGCAGCAGTGGTACTTTGAATGATCTCACATGTTTCACTGCGCAGATACTGCTGGAAGATTATAATTTCTCAAAGTGACTAACTTTGCATCTCAGCAAGTATAAACATTATAAAGTATTGATGACTTGTATGCCAAAGGAGTACAATATATTCTAATATCTATCAAAACTGGAAAGTTCAACCACTTCTTCTCCCTGAGAAATCTATAATTATACTCTAGATTTTTCATTTTTTAGAGTTCACCCTAAAACATCCTGGCATCCATTGCGCTCGAGGGTGTGAGAACCTTCATAAGATAGATTGTCTTTAGAATACATAGATATCTAAAGCAACAAGATACAAGATATGACTCTTCCCTTCTCAACTCATTCGTGCTCGCCAGCGAGGTTGTCAATGCAAACGGGACTCAGACCTCCGAAGCGAACGAAGCTGATAGATCAAATGCCAACTTGACTCAACAAGGCAGACTCATCGGACTCATCAGACTCAATATTTACCTCAGTCATCACGCTCGATGGTGGGAACACAAATGGGAAAGAACAGTCATAACGCTATAGCGTTTATTTTTATTTCTTGCAGATCCCTGTAGAGGTGTGGCACGAGATATTGTAGCATAACAAGTAGCAGTTCTTTGGTATCCATATCATTGAATATGGTTGACTTCATTCACGCAGGAAGGGTTGACGCTACAAAGTCTATAGCTGACTGCTGGCAATGTCAATGAACGCATGCTCACATCCCAACAGGCGCATTTCCACGACAGCAAGCTCAAAATCTTTACTAATGGTTAAAAATTTTTATTGATGAAGAAACCATGTGACTTAGTAAAAAAATCAGTTCATTAGATCTGTCTTTAAAATGCTTTCATGAGATAAGTGACACATTCTGTGAACAATTTCCACAGGGCACAATTGCTCGGTGTATCTCCGTTGACATAGCTAATGATGCTTCAAGCACTGCTATAAGCTTTTGTGAAACACACCAGTCCTTTTTCATAAGCAAAAGTCATATCAGCGTTATCACACTATCCCAGCTGGGTTCCGCTCAAAATAGAAGAAACTTTATACGAACCGAAAAAATCTTCTAAATTTACGAATGTGCCGAATCGGTCATAACGCAAATAATCTATGGGACATCAAATTCGCAAATGGCTCCCATATGTCAACATCATGAGAGAATCATCACTATATCCATCTCTGTTTTTATGAAAACATTACATTCCTCAAGATGTTTTTCAGGCGCATATCCAAAGAGAGGCAGCGTAATAATTTTTGCTTGTTCCGTCTTTGATCTTGCCGACACAAGTAGCTCCGATTCGACTTTTTGAACGAGAGGACATTCTTTCATCAGCGTAGCAAATCTTGTTTCTGTCCTTACACTGATGCTCGTCTCTAAATTTGTTTGCGTTTTTTCTGCTTGAGAATCTCTCAAGATCTAATCTTAATTGGAGCCATCTGGCTCAGTGTTATTCCAAAATGTTTTTTTGTAGATGCTTACGGTAGCGCTGTCTACTCATTATGGCCATGCCTTGTAGTGTCGATGACTATCAAGTTATAAAAAAATTTGGCATAAAGTCATGTTTGTGTACACTTTTAAATAGTTATGACATTGGAAATAACTACATCATTTTCAATAAAGAAACAAAATGAGTAGGCGTATGAACATAATAAATTCACATTAAGTTATCCGACGTTCTAAATTTTTTAGCGCTCATTGAAGCCTCCAAATGCCATCTACAGCTAACTTTCTACTACAGAAACATGAAGAGTCTCCAACGAGAACATGAATTCAATATCGACTCTGCGGATATTTTTTTGTATCACGAAAGTCCCTCGATTTGCGAGCAGTCGATAAGTGGCGCTGGTGGTGGTGGGTGGTGGCGGTCATAATTCACTCGACGCTCCATCCACCCATTCGACGCTCCACACTGAAATACGATAGAACGAAGAGACGACTTCTTCACCAAGTCTCCTCCATACGAGCACACTGAAAACAAAAGCCAACTGCCATTGTAGCGTGTACGACGAAGATGAAGCAGAACAATGAGAAATTCTAAGAGGTTCGCACTAGAGATTGATATATATAGCGTTTGGCTCAAATCGCTCACGAAAGAAATTTGGATAACTCAGAAGAGAAATTTTCTTAGAACATAAAGTGACGCTTCAAAAAGACAGAGCTCACAGAAGGAAGACATGAAAGTGTAAGAGCTCGTTTAGACAAAGGGATAAAAACATGTGATTGAGTGGTCCAAAAAGGGTGAGACGCGGAATTTGCACTGAAGACGACAGTAAACAGTGTCCCAACAACGTTCGTGTTCAAAAAGCCTAATTTTTATTGTTTTAGCGTCTCTCGTCC